ACTGCACAACGCAGTTGCATGCTTGATTCGATCCCTTGGCCAGCTGACTCTGGTGGTTTGCTGATGAATTCCCAGAACATGGATGGATGGGCAGGCGTGTCACAAGGGAGTGTAAGTGGAGATCGTGACAGCAGATCCTTGCTGTAAGCGCTTCTCAAAACAGGGACGAGTCCACTCACAGCCGAGGTCCTATCGCACTGCCGACGAGCTCATCGAGGCGCCGCGAGGGAAGTGCACCACAGCAGTCCAGAGCAACCCAAACCCCTAGGCCAGCCACGCATACTTGAGGCTTCCGATGAAGGCCCCATCTGTCCTTGGATAAGCTCCCGCATACCTAAACCAAGAGCTTGGTTTGATTCCTCGTCCCAGAGAATGCAGTCTCGGCCTCCTGTTGCAAAAGGCCGCCTCCGTGGATAACGAACAGAAGGCCGCCACCACCGCTGCAGAATGCGTTGGTGTTGACGTGCTTTTGCGCTTCGTAGTTGCAGCTTCATTTCTTTCCATGGTAGGTGTGCGCGGGTATAATTCGATGGGTTCTCGGACGTGGCACTCCTGCAGTTTGGAAGGCCCCACCATCTGTGGCCAAGAACCGAATCATCGGTGGCACCGTGAAGATCAGGCCCTGCCTGCTGCAGGTCTTGCATACACATCACGGGTGCTGGTGAAAGTGGGGAGGAGGGGGCCCCAGGTCCAAAAACAGCATGGATAGATGGACTAGCGGAAATCCACGCCGAACAGAAGCAACACTGGCCAGGGAGTTCAGCTCAGAGGAGATCCCTGCAGACAAGCAGCGGCTGCCTCAGCATAACTCAATGCAGTAGCAGGGTCAGGATGCCCGCAGCATCACTCGCTCTTTCAACAGCTCTGCGTGCTGCCAGTTCCGAGCTCTAAAGGGTTTGTCAGCAATCGGCATGATGTGCTTGGCGAAGGTGAACAGTACGCAGGCTGTCCCAAGCCCCAAGTGCTGAGTTTGGCCGGGTTCGGTGCCATCAAGAAAAGAAAAAAAGGACCGTAATAGTACAACAATGCCACTCACCTGCGTCAACAGGTGAGATGTGATCATGGCTTTCCTTGGGAAATTTCAAGAAACATGTTTCAATATTGCATCCTGTACTGAAATCGGCACGGGATTCCTTGGAAGACCTCGAGGGTCGAGGTTCCAATGCTCCAGAAGAAAGAGCCAAAGATACGATACTTAATATGAGTGTCAGGGCTGAGGCCAGTCAGGAGTCAGGAGTCTTGGCCGAGATTGCCGTTCGAGCGACGAAACTACACTGACTTGGCCATCAAGTTTTTTCTTGGGTCGAAGTTGGTTGATCTGTCACCTTGGGTCATCTATCTGTAAAGTCGGGTTTTCTTCGCTGACTTGCAGCAAAAGTGTGGCGACATAAGAGGGCAGCGCTACTTCTTGCTTCGTATCTCAATACTAAACAATCCTATGGGGCCAAGAACATTCTTGTGAACCTAAACCCTAAACCCCAAACCCAAAACCCAAGTGGTTTGTGTTCTTACGCTGGCTGTGCGGCATGCAGTGCACACATTGTTCGGCCATGCCGGACCGTCATTTTGACTGAACCTCTAGAAGATGCCAGCAGCACCGATTGTTCTGCAAAGTTCTACCAATAACCCTAAACCCTAAACCCTAAACCCTAAACCCTAAACCCTAAACCCTAAACCCCTAAGTAGCAGCACTGCCCAGGTGGCCTCTCCTTGTCAAAGTGAAACGGTGGGGGCCAAAGCGCTGAGGGGACTCACACTTGCGCTCTTGCATGCTACTCTGCCGAGCAGCCATCTCCTCCCGACGCCTCCTTATCTTCGAACGCAAGCACTATCAATCGTACATATATATATATATATACATTTTTTCGTTTACACAATATCATATCAAATGATATTTTGCAAAAATGTATAGTATCGGCCTGCGATCCGCCAGTGCCAGGCGCTTCAAAGGAGACGAGGCAGCAGCTCCCCAGCTGAAGCAGCTGGAGCAGCTGCCGCTTGTCTTATAATTAGTTAAGCAGTTATTATTATTTTAATAACAATAAATAAGAATGGATAATAATAATCATCATAAATAATCATGATTAATTATAATTCATAGTTCGTTGTAATCAATAATCATAAGCTCCGTGTGTATTGAGCTTAGTATTCGGCAGTGTCCCAGGACCTGGGTAGGTTAACCTAAGAGTCTTCAAAAGAAGTGCCCTCATAACGAAGCGCCCACAAAAATAAGAGTTTTGGGCTTTGAAGGCCAGATTGTCATGGAGGCCTGCGCCATGAAGCGCAGCTGCGTTGAACGTTTTGCACCCGCCCACCACCTAAGTATGCCCAGGTGTGAAGAGCTGCGGGAGAGGTGCTTCGGATTTAGGGTTTAGGGTTTAGGGTTTAAGGTTGAGGAATGAGGTCTCATGTCCGATGCTACCACTTCGATTCATGTTCAAAGCGGGGCAATCTAAGTACTTGCAAAAGCTTCTGTGGCTTCAGGCTCGGGAACCATAGTATGCGGCGCTTGCTGGTGATGCTTTCATTCATGGCAGCTCTAGGTCAACTAACGAGGACCAGAATGCATCAGAAACGAGAACGGTGTGTTGCGTAACCTTTCTTCTTTTCCGGGCGAGTGGCGTGTACGCACGTCCTCAATTCTTCCACAACTCCTGCACTTCCCGAAGCTTGAAGCTTCCAGGTTGCTAACGCAGCTCACGCTCGAGGGTTTAGGTGCAGAGTGGGCTAAAGCCGAAGCAGGGCAGCCAAAACAAACAGCAGGGGTACTGTCCCAAACCTGTGCCAGGCGTGATTGTTGTGTTGCTGGCCGGAGGCTTTTCCAAGTGGTGCAGCACACCCTCTTTGCTTGGCTGGACGAGTGCGCCTAGCATCTGTCCGAAGTCGGTCAACATCTCCTATTTGCCTAAGGACGTCAGGACGTCAAAAAACCAGAGGCAATAATTAATCCTTACATTGCCCTTATGAGGAAGACCTTTCTTTATTGTCTTGGCGGGTTCAGATAGCTCCCAATCCTCGATTGCTCTTCTACAGCGCAGAGCTCAAGGTGCAGAGCGCATCACGACCCTCTCCCTGAAGAATGGTCTCGACATGTCTCAGTGCTTTTACCAACTTGGCATCCCTGGCCCTGCTTCTATCAGGTACAGGGACTACTGGGCGTCTGGCAACACGGAGCCTGAGTAGTCCTAGGCGTATCTTCCTGCTCCACATTGCATGGTAGGAGGCAGTCCCGTCCGCTAAACCCAGCGTCATTGAGATATAGCTCTGCAAAAGGGTAGCTCTTGCCACGTCTTGCAACCTACCCCTCTACACCTCTGCAGTAGTCTCTTAGAGTCTGGAGCGCGGCGCCCGTGCCCTTGTTTGAGGTGTCAACTTGTACATATCGCACCATCTGCAGACTTTTTTGCCTCCATCCTGATCCGTGATGCGTTCCTTGTGCGAAACATGTGACCATCGCATCAAGAGATCATGCACACCACTTTCAGAATGCTTGCAAAAACTGCTTGCGTTCAGTATCTACGCAGTTCCCTGTATTGGTGGACCAGTGCATGCAACCTCCTGAGCTTGACTCGATCAGCAAAGGACTTGCAGTGGCAGCCTCAAAGACCGACACTTTAAACATGCGTTGCCGCGCAGAAAAGCAAACGCGGTGAGCGATCTCGAGCATCTCTGATCTTCCTTCCTGAACCTCGCACGTGCAAATGAGACACAAGCCCTAAAGTGCTGCTAGCGAAAACCATTGCAGAAAAGCCGCCCGAAGCAATTAGGCACTGCGGATGATTCAGCAGGTCGTGCGCGATATCCTGGCTGGTGGGGCATCCACTGCAGTGGTGTCGGCGGTGCTGAATCCCGTCGATGTTGCCAGGGGCCTGGCGTGAGAAAGTGATGGGAACGCTCGCGCGACCTCAAGCAGCAGTGAAAGTGTTTAGTGCGGGCACACATCTCCTTTTCCCTACAGCCGACAGTAGGAATCTGTGGGCGCTTTGTAGCCGCGAGGTCAAGACGCGACGTCAGGTCGGTATTCCCCGCACAGCGGTCCAGGAGGCCGCAGCAGGGGGTAGCTGCGGGCAATTTCGGAGCCATCACCAGCTAAGAAACGGGAGTTGTCTCAGTGTTGTCTCGCATCGGAGACTTCCTTGAAACCCCTGATTGGAAGAGGCCCTGGCGGCATATCGACAGCATGGCGCTTGGCAGGGCTTGTGGAGGCAGCTGGCATGCGGGGGATGCTCTGGCACTAGCCTCTTTGATCCTATTGCATCGAAGTCTCTTTGCTTTCCTTTCGCAGTTGCAGCCATGCCACGGTCTGTACCAAAATTGGCCGCATCCGGCCCTTGCAGCTCGGATTGCAGCAGGTCGCCTGTTCTGAGAAGCCGAGACGTTCGGCATGCCCAGAGTGCGGTATTCGTCGCAGCTTGCTCCTCCCGAGCAAAGCAATGGACTGCACCCGAATATCCTGACAAAGCCTCAACCAAGCCCCCCCCCCCCCCCCCCAAAAAAAAAAAAAAAAAGCACACACACACACAAGTCCCCGAACTCGGTTCTATGTATGGCGAGGGCACCTTGCACTGTGCTGCTAGGCCGGGTTTGACGGCCTCCCTCGTCCGAGAGCTGCCCGGGGGCCTATTTGAAGTGTAGGATGGGCGCAAGAAGTACATGAAGGAGTCGGGATCAAGAATGGATGACCAGGGGCTAAATTTAGTTTGATAGCACAGGGATTTGCATGTAGTTTAGAAGGGTAGGTGAAGGTCGCAATTCTACACCCACATGAATAGCTTGTCTAGCCGGGCCTGACCTGACAACCAGGAAAGCAAGACTAATATAACTAATATGACTAATATAACTAATATAACTAATATAACTAATACAACGAATATAACTAATATAATGAATATAACTAATAAAACTAAATAACCAATATAACTAATATAACTAATATAACTACGATCACTAGTATAACTACTATAACTAATATCACCAATGCCCACGAGGCTGTACAGCGGATGCACAAAGGGGCTTTATCCGCTTGCGCGAGACCTGGCCTGGCTCTGAGACGCTGGTCTGGCAGACCAACACCTCTCCAAACAGCTCAGCCCGCGATTACAAAGCGCTTAAGAGGGGGAGAGGCGAGGAAAGCACAAAGATGTACTAAGATCGTCCTGTGGTTATTCACATCGGCAAGATTCAGGCTCCCCCTAGAGTTCCCAAAGCAGCCCCAGTAAGGTCTCGCCCAGGGACTCTGAGCCTCACTTGGGTCGTCCCCTCAGCTCTACATCCAGAACCCTCGGATCACGATGCACGGGTCGTTCTTCAGGTCATCGGGTAGCTGCAGCGGCTGCCACCGGCTTGGGCGGCTCCCTGTGTGCGAATGGCCCGGACGTAGTGAAGGCCGTGCTAGATCATGGCAGCACAGCTGCCTTACACTGGATGGATCAGCGGTGAAAGTGTTTCCAGGTTTCTGAAAGTCTAAGATAAAGGTCCATGAAAGATAGCTCCGATGTGGCGTGTGCTGTTACAAAAGATGCCCGTGCATGCCAGGTGAGGCTATTCGCAGAGCCTGGTCGCTATCCAGGCTCAGCAAATATTGATGCAGCTGTTGACGTCCGACGCTAGAATTTCGGCCTGTGCAGCCTTGAAGTGCCTTTCTTGTCTCTCTGCCTTGGGCCCTACAACCTCTCAGCAACAAACCCTGAAACTTGCAAGGATTCCTGTCCGCTGCCACAGAAATTGCGCAGAAAGAAGGCTTCGTGCGAGGCCTACGACCTAGGATCAGATGGAATCAGCCACAACTAGCATGGGGGGTAGCAAATGCCACGATTTCTGCGATCGGCTCAATTTGCCAGACTATGTCATTAGAAATTCATAGTAGAGAGAATTTGCTTCGGGGCTTCTAGACTTGTTTGTTATGCTGCCCTGGCTGACGGGATCTTGTGGGCATCTTGGCACCCTGCTTTCGGTTGTAGTGTTTTCAGTAACCTTCCAGATCTAGCTGTCTCTAAACCTAGCAGTGTTTGAGAAACAGCACATAAGCTCAGTCTGTCGTGAAGAAGAGTTTGCAACTAAGCAACCTTCATGCCACTTTGTGCACCGCTTGGTCATGTAGTCACATTTTACTTGGAGCTTGATTGTTCTCATATTGCTGGTATGACGACACCCAATTCATGATGGTATGGTAAGTCGTGGCTTCTGCAGTTTTTCGCCGGAATCCCGCATTCGGGACCCTCTGCAGGAACTGGCTTTTGCACTTTCACTCGACTGTTTGCAACAGACGCTCGTTCACGGGAGAGATTTGGTGCAATGGTGACTTATCGCTTGGCTTTGCGTTAATTGAGGCTTTTGGAAACTTTTTCAAGAATTAGTTCTGAGTACGAGTGAATCAGAGTTTGCTGGCATGCCATCATGCTGTGAGAGCGATCCTTTGATGTTTGCAGACCGTGTTTTTCCGATCTGAAGCATGCTTCACGGTCACAATACGCATGTCCGAATGTCCGTCAAACGAAGCAAAGCATGAGTACCAATTTGGGTTTGCATCAGTAGCCAGCAGCTAGCCTTCTGCTTAGTTTTCTGGTGTCCAAACGAGAATGAGCGGCACACGTGTTTTCTCGACGAATTTGATCCGCAGAAGCAGGTGCATCTCGAAAGGTTGCTCATGCCAGAATGTGGCTTTAGTAAATAGCCGGTGCACGAATTGAAAACATGGGTCCGGGGTGTGGCTGATCCGAGCAGCAAGCCTGTCATGGGAAACATCGATGCTCGCTGATCTTTGTTTGCTTAAACGTGGGGTTTTGGGAAAAGGGGGGGGGGTGCGGGGTGGGGGTAGCATATATGTATATATATATACATACATACATATTTAGTTATTTATCCATGTGTATGTATGCATGAAAATAAGCGGAAGATATACCAGCTCTTCCCTGAGGCCTCCTCGTCCGGGGTGTCAGCGCTTCAGCTCCAAGGGGTGCTGCCATTGCCATTGGAGAGGTGCACTGCGCCGCTTTCGTTCAGGGTTTAGTTCAAGGTTCAGGGTTTAGGGTTTAGGGTTTAGGGTTCAGGGTTCCGGGTTTAGGGTTTAGTTTAGGTTCAGGGTTTCGAGTAGGGGGCTTATAGGTCTCAGGCGGTCTTAGGGATGTTTCGGGTTCGGGGTAACAATTTGGGATGCGTTGCTTTTTCTCTTTTCGCATTGGTTTCCTACATACCGCCCGGAAACAAGTTTTGGGATGGCTTAACGTAAATCTTCAGTAGACTAAGTGACTAAATATCAATGACAACAGCCGGCTATGAATTGCAGGAAGAGAGATGTGTGCTCAAGCGTAGTGCAAGAATGTCAATCATTCTTTGGGCACGCGGTTGCAATCATTTTCGCCATGCCGGCTTGGGCAAGTTGTTTGTTGTCGGTTTAGTGATGTTGAAAGCCGGGCTCAGAAGGCAGCCCCAATCCCTGCGAGCCTTGGCGTCCCAAGGCTTGTATCTTGGCATGTGAAGTGTGGGGAATGGGCTGGGAAAGCCGGGTGACGGGCTTTGCTGCTATGCCTTACAGTAGTGACTGTAGCGGTCAAGAGCTGTGCGCCTGTGAGTCTGTTCCCGGCAATCCATCAGGTGACGACTTACGACCAGACCAAGACAACACTTCGCAGGCATTGGCCAGGCACCTTGCGCAGTTTTGGACACGAGCTTATCAGTGTTTGTCGAGTTCTTGGTGATGTAGGCTGTGTCACTGAGGCGTGAATGGATGTTTTCTGAACTCCGCATCGCGTTCTGACCCATGCTCCAGCACAGGCATCGAGAGTGCTGCTCGTGATGGTCGGCGTGAACCCTTCTCGCTGCACGTGGTGACATCATTGATCACAGGCGCTGGTCGTAGCAACTAAGACTGGCCTGTGCCATGAATGTCAATGCAAGCCTGAAGGCGTGGTGGCGACAACTGTGGCCGCGCCCTTCGACACATTGAAGAGCTGTGTCATGGCCGACGATGGCCGCATCCTAAGACGGTCAATTTTGAAAGCTGTTCAAGGCCAAGCGAACCTGCGTGCACCAGGCACGCGCTTCCCGCGGGGCTTTCTGGACGCCCTCCTGTCCATCGTACGGTCGGAGGCGAGGGCGGACGGTTTGAAGTCAGGTTTCCTGCAAGACACATGACGCACCTCTTTCATCTGCGGGGTGTGCTTCGGGCTAGCTTCTCAGGGCCCTGCCAGCCTCTTTCGCGGCTGGTGGCCAGCATACTGTCGCTTAGGCAGGATGGGCGAGGTTTTTCTCATAAGCCACGGCAGCCAGTACCATAGTGTTGACAACTGACATCAACTGGCCCTGCCGTGCTCGCAGTCAACTCGCACCCTTCTGGCAGGGCCCCACGCAATTCTCACCTTTCCGCTTCTGGAGCAGGTGGATGCAGGGATGAACAAACTCAGAGTATAAGCAGACCGGTATTTTGATATACGTCAGCAGGTGTTAGGCATGCCTGGTGGTCACAGAATGGGCATGATCTGCCTGCGCATGAGACCTTGGGGTATAACGCAAAGTTTCATTCTGCCCTTCGATCTGCTTTGCAGCACCCTGAGTCCTCCAAGTCTCTCGGTGTTCGGCGCTGTGCCAGGTGCGCAAAGCTTTGGGCCTCCAATACCTTTAGCTTCAGCGAAAATGCCGAGTGCAGACTGCGTACCAGCACCATATTGCGAAACCATCACAATCACCACGTTTTGCCTCGATGGCTACTGTAAGGCCTGGCTTCTTCGACATAGCACGCTTGTCATCTGGCTCGAAGTCGCGTAGCGCTTGACATGATAGACAGAACTCGGATCAATAGGATGTACAGGTAGATCTTGGGAGTTGCCAGCAACTTTGTGCTGCGAGCTGTCCATCAACCTGAACAAATCAGAGCCCCCGAGTATATTGGGCAGCGCCTCATTTGTGTGCTTTCTGGAGCCCAGAGCCTTGCAGCACGTCCTGCCCACCTACCCCAGCCTACACTGCAGGGAGTAGCTCTTGGTGTGGCAGGAATTTCTGACATAGGTTAGCCCGCATCGGCCATTCTTACCCGCAGCGCCCTTGCAATGGCGCCATCTCCTCTGGAGGCGGCAGCATGTTGCGACAGTTACTGCCGATAGGCGGGCAGGAAGCACGCGAGGCACGCGAGGCGCCTGCAGTGGAGGCCGGTTTTGTCCTTGATCCTGACAGGAGTCGCCGGTGCTTTGCGTCGCCATCGTGGGTACAGGGCTTATGCTATTCGAGAGACTTCAATGTTGCTGGATCAAGCCAGGGTTTGGTCATTTGCTAGACTGCGATCTGGGACATCATGTCATTATGCAGCAGCCCACAGGAGCTTGCGAAGCGAAGGAGGGGGGGGTTTTTTGCGGGACAGCGCAGTCCGGCTGGTGTCGGTGATTTTGTTGCTGAGGCAGAGACGGAAGCCTCTTATTCTTCAGAAGTTTTCGGAGGAAGCTGGCCAAAGACCCGGTCAGCCTTCCTGCACGATGCCACGAGCATCTGGCGAGGAACGATGACACGTGACATGATGACACCTTTGCACCAGGAGTTTATCGATAGTGTGTTGGCGCGAGAGCACGCTGAGGTAGAACGTTAGGACTCCTAGGCTGGTTTCTCGCGCCGAGGCCACCCCGCCCGATGCCGATGACTTGGAGCATTCACCTCAGCGCTAGAGGTTGTGCTGGCTTTGGTCTGCAACCTCTCTTCTATTCCATCTTGCTTTGGAAGCACTGTGTCGTCCTATGCTTCCCCCGACGTTCTCTTTTGCCTTGTCACTCTCACTTGGCAGACATAATTTCAGAGTTCTCAATTGCCAAAGCTCAGAGCTTCAGAAACATTAATTTCAATTGTCTGTGAAACGCTGTGTCGACGACATCTAGTGTTTGTTTTGCCACACGGGGGATGGGGAGGCTTCAGCTCCTGCTACATGCCGCGTTGGACCAAGTGGAGGTGCACCATCGATGGCTTTTTGGAAGACAATCAAGCCAATCAATCATCGGCCTGATGTTGTCCATGCACAGGTTGCGAGCACCTCATAGCACCTGCTTTTGACTCAACTGTCTGGTAACTGTCTGGTTGGGCTCAGGTGCAGATGCAAAACGTCGCCCAAGCGCTGCTGAAGGGTGAGGTGCTCCAACAGCAATTGACACGCGGCAGATCGTTTGCATGACAAAGATGTCGAGCCTTCATGCAGCTGATGGCCTGCTGTGAGGCAAAGGGCTCAGACCCTTATCTGGGCCTTCTGTCCCCAGCGCTTTTCGACGCTCAGGAGAGTCGTCCAGCAAGCGGGAAGTGCACATCGGCTCCACCCCCGTCCCAGAAAAGCACAAGCACGCATCACATCCTGCGTAGCGTGCTCCCCATGACGGGCTCCGCGGGAGGGAGAGAGAAAAGCGGCAAAACCGAGCCTTCAGGCGGCCCTCCGAGGGACTAGGTCTTCTGTGGGTTCAGGTCTCATGTGGAAGCTTAAGTCTGATGATTCAGTCACCTTGGTGCTGAGATGCTCCAAGCCGTGAGGACTGTAACATCTATGGCTACGTTGCTGCGACACGCGTCAAAGCTGGATTCTTAGGCTGCGTGGGAACGGCACCCTATCGTTGTATTATTTGCATGCTTCCACTCTCTCTTTTGCTCCGAGGTGTTGGCTGTCGTTCGTGATGGAGCTCGGCCCTGAAGATGGTTTCTTGTGAGCACGTTCGGTGACAAGCCTGGTGTTCGGCCACCCTGCTGTGTTGTACAGTACCGTTGCAAGCCTCAGAAAAGGCCAGGTGAAAGGCCTTTCACAGCAGGAGGCTAGTAGGGCGGTAGAGTTAGCAGGCTCGTAGCCCACTAAGGTGTGCCGGCAGCGCCGCGACGAGGAGGCGATCCTGCGGTCGATGCTGAGGTCCTGTGGGCTAAGTTGGTTTAGGGTTTAGGGTTTAGGGCCACAGAGTTCAGACTCAGATGGAGAGAAACACCCCCCCAGAGTGATCCAGGCAGCTGAATCTACTCTACGTGGATGCTGCCTCCAACCCGTTCTACAGCGGACTTGGCAAGGTGCCGCTGCTACATGCTACGACTCTCTAGGAATCCTTACAGTTTCGTTAAAGTCTGAAGTAGATCACAACAGGCTTTTAAGCCAGTCTAGTGTGACGCATTCACGTCTGCCTTGCGCAACATCAGACAACATTCTCTTGCAGCTGTTTTGCGTTTTGCGTAGGTCCTAACCGGCGCTGTCGCCTTGCAACTTTACCTCAGCCAACCTCACCCTATCAACGACTCACGCCTCAAGAGCTTGGATCGCGAACCACACTTCCACCCCGTCGCAGCACGTTTCAGTGGGCACCAGCGCCGGATTAGCTTGTAGTGTGCTTCTATCATGGCGTCCCTGGCCTATGCAGATGCGATCAGTCGGGAGCTCCAGTTCGCTTTTCACAGGGTTTGTCTTGTGGTCTTAAGCACACGATGTTGGATGTGCTGCTCATTGCTAAGGAGACCTCAAGTTCAACTCTTGTCTGGAAACCATTTCAGAGAACTCAGAGTTGTGCTTGAGCACAGAGCCTTGGACTTAATTTGTTCAGTTTGTTCATTCTGATGCAACTCCATAGGTCCGGATCGTTGGCCCAACGCTGGGCCCACATTCTGCTTCACCCACTTGTGTGAGGACTGCAGCGACGTTTCGGGTGAAAGTCCGAAAAGCTTCGATGCAGCCGAAGCCCTTCTGCTTCTCGGTGGGTCATGCTGGTAGTGACAAGAATTGTGCAGTACATCACAATGTCAGGCATTCTGAATTCTGCTTCTGCTTGGCTTTCATCTGAGCTTTGCAAAGGGCGGATACGTGAGACCATATCGTTTTTGTTGGCCTGGGTTCTCCAACAGGTCATTGATGTCATGCAAACCTCAAACCTGGAACGCATGTCCAGACGCATGTCATGTTCATGACGCTTCAAGGTTCTTCGATTGGGATGACACGCTGCTTCCGACCAGCTGGATTTCTCAGCAGGCCAGACGAACTTAGACTACACAGAGGCAAGGACAAGACATAGCAAGAGAAACGCTTTAGGGTTTAGGGTTTAGGGTTTAAGGTTTAGGGTTTAGGGTTTAGGGTTTTAGGGTTTTAGGGTTTTAGGGTTTTAGGGATTAGGGTTGTGGAAGCTTCAGACTTACAAGGGCACTGCGCAGATCTCTGCTTGGGTGCCCAGGGATGGTTGAACGAAGATGGTGGCCTGGACTCCGTCGATGCTCCTCTGCCTGCTCAAGCAGTAGTCATGGTTATAATCACAATAGTAGTAATAGTAATATTAATTGTAATAATAATAATAGTAATAGTGATAGTAATAGTAGTAGTAATAGTAATAGTAATATTAATAGTAATAGTAACAGTGATAACAGAGGACTTTGCTGGTTGTTGCTCATTGCTTGCTCTCGTGGCTGAGTTTAGCTGCCTTGCAGCATGTGGCAGCCGAGGAAGTCAGTTTGACTCGGGAACAGCAGGTCCTGCTACAAGAGCTGGAGGTCAATGTTGAATCTAGACAGCATTGAAAGGCTTGAATGACAGCCACGGCGACGTGGCGTACTTGTACACCATAGTGACAGAACCACATGTTGCATCGCATGTCTCGGCGTTCTGTGTCAGGAACAAACTTTGTTAACGGCCTGCGCCTTACTTTCGCATGCAGGAGCACGGCAGTCTCAGCCGTGGCCCGTTGGGGTGTCCACATTAATGACTGTGATCATGCAGCCGCCGAGGCCATGGCATATGGCAGGGTCGTTATTGTGACGAATGCCTTGGAGGGATGGGTGGAGACAAGCTGTGCAGCCTTCCTTCCAGGCCTGCCTGCACCACTGAACCTTCGAGCTTCGGGTTGCGCGTCTTGACCCGCTCTGAGGTTTGCGCCCTCTCCTGGATGAATTAGATATTGTCTCCGCCCGTTCAACTTATGCCCCTTGGCCATCAGACTTGGCATGTTTGCTGGCCCTCTTGCCTCAACTGCTCGAAGCCTTAACGGCCTTGATGCCTGCTGTTGGCCGGGATATGCGGGAAATGCTGGACAGGGGCGTCAAGTTGGAGTTGTTCAACCCCCCCCCAACCGCTCAAAGTATGCTCTGCATGCGACAAGTGTTCAGGCCTTGTGGCCTACGACTGCCCTATGTAGGTGGGAGTTCGCTGGCTTTAGGGTCTAAGACCAGACTCTCCAGAGCGTGCACGCACGTGGCTCTGGTTGAAGCTGCGCGTCGCGTGAGGCGCGGGCGGCTTCTCTGGACATATCCTGAAGCAAAGCCTGAACTGGTACCTCGTTTTTGGCCCACAGTCTACAGGCCCTCACAAGCAACAGCAAAACGCCCAACGCGCGGAAACCTCGGCAGGCCGGGCAGTGGGCCAAGTCGTACTAATCATGTAGTTTCTTTTTGAACATTTCTTCGAAGAACAATCCCCCCCCGACCGATCCTGCGGGATCATTCGTTTGTTTCCTAGGCAGCGGCTGCTTCCATCTCTCATCCCAGAACGTCCATGACCCTAACTAACCCTCGAGCCATCTCGAGCCCTCGTAACGATCCCGTGGTGTGTACGGGCGCCTCGACATCAACTCGAGGCACCCCCCACAACAGGCCTCTCGTGACAAGCCCCTGCAATCAATCATAATAAGCCATAATGAACCATAATAAACTAGAATACACCATAACAAACAAGAATAAACCTTGAAACAACCGTGAGATGCCTTGAACATATAATATTCCCAGAAATGCCGACGGCTACAGACCTCGAACCTCTAACTTCCAAAGCCGCTCTGCAGCCCCAAAACCGCGGATTCGCTTACCTCCACAATCCCTCTAAGGCACCAAGCGTGGAAGCCCTGAATTTTGTAGTCCCTACTCGTATGAAGGACTATACTGTAGTTGCTTCATTTCGGGAGCCCCAGAATGCCCTAAGTCCGCAAGTTCCGCAAGGAGAGCCTCGGGGATGCTTCGCCGACAGCTTGGAAGCGGCGAGCCTTTGCAGACGCTTCTGCCGCAGTTACTTGCGACATGTCAGGGGAACCTTATGCCGTCGATGGGGTGTGGTGATGTTCAGCGTTCAGCGTTGGGGTGCTGATTTAGTGCATCGATCGGTTTGCCTCCTGGGTTTCAGATCCCGTTTCGAAGATAGGTGTTTTCAAAGGCCATCCCATTCCGTAGCTTTTCCGAGTAGGGTTGAATTCACGCAAGAACACCGCGTGACCACTGTTAATTATTTCTTCTGAGCAATTCTTACTTTTGAAAAGGGGGCCATGACAAGATTTGCTAAGCAGGATGTGATCCTCGCGGCCAGCGGCGAGATGGAAGACAGCAGGCACGCTTTCATCAGGAGAGAGCAGTACGAGGGGTATGAAACAGTCCTTGCTCCAGTCGAAACCTTCAATCGGGCTCCGGTCCGGCTTCTGCACTGGGTTGCGTGGACCTGGTGGGCTCAGGGCAAAAACACACCTCAAGGCCTGTGCTGCGTGTCCAAGCAGCACATCACAAGAATGTATCGAGACCTGCTGCCTGAAGGCCGAACCTTGTGTGCGTCGGCGACTCGATGTTTCCTGGCGCTATGCGAACTTGATATCTTTTACTTCGCTTTGCTGACCTGCACACTGGGTTTCGAGAGCTTGTCCGGATCAATTCCATTGCGGACCGACAAGTACGCACGTACGCTGATTGAGTACATGCGGGATGCTGCAGTGCACACCAGCCATCTTTTGCTCAGGTATGAGCACGCCGCACTATCTGCTGCCGTACAGGGTCCCTGGGCAGCACTACGATCCCCAAGGATTTTCAGAGACCTGCACTGCAGGTATCCACTGGGTACGCTAGGGCGGCCGCGATGATAAGGGATGCACATTATGAGGGTCCACTGTTGGTCTCCTTGTGGAGGTATGCCCAGCTGCCGCATGAAATCCTTGAAGCTTCTGGTGCCTTGGTGAGCTGGGGAGCGACTTCTCACACCTCTACAGTCTGTGTCGTGAATTCAAAGCAGGGCGCCCGTGAACCCAACGTCAGTCGACTCCCAAAGCAGGAAGCAGTAAGCATCTGAAACTCTGAATTTGCCATCCACGGAGGAGCGTCCCTGCATTCGGCAGCTCATCGAAGACCGACTCCTGGGGGGCTGCAGGGTAGAACCGAAGTACTTGCTCAAAGGACGTATATGCTTGGGAGTCTCTTTTAGTCTTTAGCGGTCCTGCTTGCCATGGGACGAGACATGGGAAACATTAGGACACTAGGGTGAATAGCAGCTTCTGCAATTTGTGCATCCGGAACCATGCGATAGTCCTTAAGTCGTGCTTAGCTTCCCTCAGTCTCTGCTTGGCATTCGAATGTCAAAGCTTGCAGTATTCATGAAAGGCCTTCCTGACCTGGATAGTATACTCGGATATTCGCAGCATGCAGACATCCCAGAGAGCGCAGTGGGTGCTGCAGCTTTGAGAATGTCGTGCTACCTTACTTGCTGTCATGGCAAGCTAGCTGTATGTGGAGGGCAAGTCTGAATCTGCATCATCTATTTTTGGGAGGATCTGGTCCTAGTTTGTTTCGCGTGCCAACAGTGGCCATCATGTAGATCAACCCCCCCCCATATCTCCGGTGCAGGAACATGATCTGCTGTTGCAAAATCTCGACCATGCAGTGGCGCACGAGGAGTCCATTCCTAAAGAGAGACAGCGGAGAGCCTGTTCAGAGTTGTGTTGGCCCAGGCGGCTCATGGCCCAAAAACTCCAACATGTCGACCGAACCTAGATCCTAAAACCCCGAAAGGCCTAATTTTGGAAGCCCTAAAGCAACTTCCGAAGCCCATGAGAGGACCACTTGGAGCTCGAAGTGTCTCCCGAGATGCTCTAAACGGACAAAGTTCACGGGGCAAAGAGCCCCCCCCTCATCGTGGCTTCTACAAAATTGGCCTTCGGGAGCTTAACCCTAAACCCCTAAACCCCTAAACCCCTAAACCCCTAAACCCCTAAACCCCTAAACCCCTAAACCCCTAAACCCCTAAACCCCTGAACCCCTGAACCCTAAACCCTAAACCCTAAACCCTTGATTCGTTGCGCGTCTGCAGCTTCTTGAACCGCTGCCTCATGCTGCCTCGGCACTTTTCGTAGTTGGAATGCGGCTTGTATCAGTTTGGGTGGATGGCTCCCTTGGCTGGCAGTAAGTTTGTACGCATAGCTGTCTCGACGGCTACAGCAGTTCGCGTGATCTCAGAATATAAAGGCTCAGCCCTCCAAGCCAAGCAGCAAGCACGAACATGTGGCTTTCACAACGGACCTCGACAGGTCTGCGTTGCGGACTTCAGGTTGCAAAGGTTGCAGGGGTTTTGCCTAAACACTGCATCCGACCAAGCACCCTTAAACGCCCTAAGCGTGGTACTGCACGCAGACAGATTCCAAAGGTCTCAAAGATCCTAGAGAAGGAAGCAGTGCTCCTTCTAGTTGTCTCTGTGCACGTGAAGCCTGCGTTTTAGACCTGAAAAATGCCCCCAACAAATGACTCCCGTATCTGCAGCTGCCGGAACTCCTTTCAAGAGTCTGCGTGCTAAGTGGATGCCAGTTGGGTTACCGAATCGTGTTGCAGTGTCCTCGTGTCCTCGCCGCCAAGGTAGTGTTTATGTACATTGCAGCCAACTTGGAATTCAATAGCGTGCCTTCGCTGATTTAGTGTCCGCAAGCTGCTGACAATGGCTCCCGACTTTCAACCCTAAACTCTATGAACTCTATAAACTTCATGAACTCTAAGACTCTACTATAAACTACACACTCTCTTAGCCCTCAGCCCGAAGCATCCCAAGCACTCCCGTCAAGGCTCGAGCCACACAGCTCTTAGTCCCGCTTGGGTGCTGGTGCCGGGAGCCTGGTGCTCCGAAAGGGCTCTCGGTGGCTGGAGTGTGATGTGCACGAGGGTTAAGGTTTTCAGGGTTCGTCAGGGATTTAGGGTGTAGGGTTTAGGGTTTAGGGGACGTTTCAGGAGCTCTATACTGTACCTGTCATGATACATTCCATCTTTCAACTCCGCATAGAGCCCTCATCCCCTCTTGGACGCTGGCAAGGTGCACGGCAGTTGGCTTGGCTTCAGCAAGTCGAAAGACTCCCGGAAGCAGTTGATGTCAGGGTTTAGAGACATCGGAACGCTTTTTTCATGTGCTGCAAATAACGGTCTTAAGAAGAAAGCAAACTCCCTGGAGGCTGGCAGTAGCGGTCGTTGACCGTCTCTCTGGACTCTAGACCCCGCTGCGCCTTCCGTTTTGGAAATTCCCTGCGTGCTCCACCCCCGCCTCTCCGGCGTAGCAACAGCAGCAACAGCACGGCCTCCAGACCGTGTGCCCGCATCATTTTCAATGCCCCATTGCTGCTCGTAGCATCATTCTCAAGTTGGTTGTACATCCATACTAAGCCGACGCAGCCAATCTGATGAACTGACAAGCAGGATTCCCCAATTGCGACGGAAACCAGCAGATGAAACCTGATCCGGATTCACCGATTCACTTCTAACTAGCGCTCCATCTCCACCTAGCCGTTCTTCCAAGGAACATTTGAAGCTCCAGCCGGCAGGCCAGGGTAATCCCTTGATGGGCGCCCGATCACATCGTGCCTTTGCCAGGAACCCTTATTCACGGGATACTCCGAATTGTAAATGCTTGCCGGGATGAGTGATCATGCGATTGATTGTCGGCCATTTGCGCACGTGCTTCTGAATGGTGTACCTAGATGGGGAATGATGGAAAGGTAGCACGGTGCACATAAAAAAGAACTCCGAAGCTTTTCACAGAGCCGAGGTTGTCAGCGATGGTGTGCCTTTTGCATGCTTGTGCCTGTGAAGACAGTGGCTCCTGTAGTCCCCGCCACAGAATTTGTATAGCTTTCCGCTTCGAGCGGGACGTCCGAAGCCAGTTGCTGGAGAAACGTGCTGATAGAGTTCTCTTTAAGTTACGTAGCTCAGATGCCGCGGATATGCGAAGCATGATGATGGCCAGATGCCTCACCGTATGCCAGGGAGGTCTAAGCGAAATCACTGGCGGCTACTTACTCGCCAATTTAGGTATTATTGGCGCTGTGGGTGCTCGACGTCGACGTAGGGCTACGGCGACGGGATGCTACGGGCATGGTATTGGAACGAGTACAGAGCAAGGATCCGGTGCGAAATTGCATTGGCGGGGAAAGGAAGTGCCATACAGAAAGTACCTATAGGACACTCTTTACCTACAGGGTTATGGGTTATACCCACCAAGTCAAGGTAGTCACCACAAAACTGTAGGTATCTACTGGTATAGCTGAATTGCAGCCCTGAGTGCAGCAACTGAGGACTTTTGAGACTAGGACATGGCACGCCAGGGCTTTCCACCTCTGTGTTGGTGGAGCCCTGGCTTGGGCAAAGATGCTTCTTTGGGCATCTTACACGCCAAGCCGTTTTCTAGTTATTGGAGACACGGTTGCTAGCACCTTGGACGGTGGAACTGGGGCAGTTGGGTCTGATATATACATCTTTCTGTTACTTTCCGGAACTACCTTCAGAGCTCTATGCTGTGTTGTTGGATGTTGTTGGCCCCGGCCAGGAGATTGACAGAGCCAGGTGCACAAGTTGCAAAGTGGATGCCATAATGATGGCATTCCATGGCGTCTCTTCACTTGTCTTGCTTCCGCATTGAGACAGGTGTCACGCAGATACTGTAGCTAGGCATCGTATGCAGCTGCGCTTAAGGTTCGATACGTTGGTCTGAAATGACTGCTTGCTTCTCAAGTTACGCCATGCAACAAATTCACGACCAGATAATCTTTGCAATTCGGTTGGAGCAGTGCCCGAAGCCTGTCATGGCAGTGGCATCTTCAATTTTGGAGACTCGGGACATTTCCAACAGACCTTGCACTTTTGAAGAATTCTAGGCTAGACTTGGCATCTTGGGAATGTCCCAGCCTGTACAGACCTAGTTAGAACAAGGCAAGCACATTGCGATCGAGTTCGCACATAGCTGCCGACCGACCGTAGTGTCAACAGAAAAAAGGGCCCTGACATGATTTGAGCAGGACGGTAGTCCTCGAAGCCCTATAATAAGGTTGTTCAGCAATCAGTCTTCTAAGGCCCCATCGATCCCAGGACCGTTACCCCAAGGTTCTTCGAAAGCAAGACCCAGTCTCAAGAGATTGTTCGAAACCCTAAGGCCTCTTGGCTTAAGCTGTCTCCGATTCCGCATGCCTTGGGCAGGCTACCTTCGCGAACAGCGTGACCAGGGTTGTCGAACAGCACCTGGCTGCCTTTGCATAAAAAGAGCAGTGGGTTTGAGCTAGAACGCAGAGCTGCACGTCACTTCCGTGCACTCGGGAGTTGCACATTGCTGCAATGATTCTCGGGCTCCCAGCAGTCAGATAGCCTTGGACATGACTCTCTTGTCGCTATACTAGCCTTACCCTCAATAACCGCCAGGTCTTCTCCAGGCGACTATGCTATCAGGGAATTTCCATTCTTTCTGGCCACGTAGCATGAAGTAGCATCTTGCCCCTCGGCCGAAACTCGGCAAACCATACTCCCGACCAGCTATACCCTCATAACTATCTACCCGCAGCCATGTTTCATGGGCTCGGCTGATGGATGAGGCTTTCTGCCAGCATCGCGGGTTCAGTGCACTGTGCTTGTGGAGAGCGTGCTTCAGCCGATGAACGTGGGGCGTTCCTGCAAATGCCTGAACCCAGACATTGATGGCATCTGAAAGCGGCTGGAGGATTTCTGCAAAGTATTCGCTCAGTTGTACTCGCGTTTCCGGCAGCTAAGCTAAGCGAGATTTTAGCAGTACACGACCCGCCTCGGCCTGGCCCCTACAAAAACACCCCAAGAAA